TATGCCAAATAAAACATTATAAGATATACCAAATAAAATACTAGAAAATATGCCAGATATAATACCAAATAAAATATTAAAAAATATACCAAAATATATGCCAAAAAATATAATAAATAGAATGCCAGAAAATATACCAAAAGATATGCCAGAAAACAGGCCACATAGAATGCCAGATAAAATGCCAAAAAATATGTCAGAATATACGCCAGAAGATATGCCAAATAGAATGACAGATAGAATGCCAGAAGATATGTCAGATAAAATGCCAGATAGAATGCCAAAAGATATGTTGGATAGAATGCCACAAGATTTGCCAATAAGAAAATGTATAAATGTTATGGTGAGGACTATACGAAGTAAAGTGATTTATTATTTTTTGGTAATTATAAATATAATTGTAGTTTAGTGTGGTGTGGTGTCGTGTAATTAGTGCAATATAATTTAATTATTATAGCCTGGTGTAGTTAGTGTATTGTAGCCTAGTATATTTGTATTTGTAATTATAATGGTAGTCTAATTGTAGATGTAATTGTAGATGTAATTGTAGTTGCCGTTATATTTGTCTAATTATCTATCTATTTACCTAGCTAATCTATCTATCTATCTATCTATCTATCTACTCTATTGTGGGACTGGTGTTTTTTGCGACGGTAACCGGTGTATTTCCAGACGGTTATGTTGATCGGTGTTTTTTTGACCAGTAGCCGGTGTTTTTTGCGACGGTGCCCCCACAATGGGGTTTTTTGCGCCAGTGGTCGGTGTTTTTTGCGACCGTGGCCGGTGAGAAGAGGAGGAGGAGGAGGAGGAGGAGGAGTCGAGGCGGCCGGTGCGCACACGAGGGACGAGTGTGCGCGACGGGCGACGACGACGACGGCGACGGCGACGGCGCCGGCGGCGGCGGCGGCGGCTGCTGCTGCTGCTGCTGCTTCAGGGTAGTTGTGGTGTTGGTGGTGCTCTGCTGTGCAATGAGCTCGCAAGGTGAGAGCGGCTTTAACAAAAATACGGCCAGTGGGGGGCGCGGGGGGAGGGCGCAGCGCCTCCCCCCGCAGAGCGGAACTGTGCGACTCTTGTTTTTGGTTTTTCTTCTGTTGCAATGTAAAACTCTTGTTGTTGTTCTTCTTGTTCTTTTTCTTCTTGTTCTTCTTCTTCTTCTGCTTCTTCTTCTTGTTCTTGTTGTTGTTGTTGTTGTTGTTGTTCTGCTGCTGCTGCTGCTGCTGCTGCTTCAGGGTAGTTGTGGTGTTGGTGGTGCTCTGCTGTGCAATGAGCTCGCAAGGTGAGAGCGGCTTTAACAAAAATACGGCGGGTGGGGGGCGCGGGGGGAGGGCGCAGCGCCTCCCCCCGCAGAGCGGAACTGTGCGACTCTTGTTTTTGGTTTTTCTTCTGTTGCAATGTAAAACTCTTGTTGTTGTTCTTCTTGTTGTTGTTCTTCTTGTTGTTCTTCTTGTTCTTCTTCTTCTTCTTGTTCTTGTTCTTGTTGTTGTTGTTGTTCTTCTTCTTCTTGTTCTTGTTCTTGTTCTCGTTCTTGTTCTCGTTGTTGTCATGCAAACCGGCTGGTGGGCGGGGCGTGGGGGCTGATGTTACAATTGAGAGCGGCTTTAACAAAAATACGGCGGGTGGGGGGCGCGGGGGGAGGGCGCAGCGCCTCCCCCCACAGAGCGGAACTGTGCGACTCTTGTTTTTGGTTTTTCTTGTGTTGCAATGTAGAACTCTTGTTGTTGTTCTTCTTGTTCTTCTTCTTCTTCTGCTTCTTTGTTGCAGCCACAAACCAAGTACTGACCCCCAGATCAAAAGGAAAGCCAATTGCACGGAATACTAAAGTAGTATTCGCGACCACCAGATTTACCGGGTCGCGGTTTTTCACCGAGTGCGAAGGTCACTTTTGTGATCTTTTGTGCACATCAAGCCTTTTTGGCAGAGTAGATCGCACAATGCGCAATGCCACCATTGCAAACTGGGCCAAGCCACATCACGATAGTATAGCCAGTAGATGGTAACATGGAGTATAGTAGTAGTAGTAGTAGTAGTAGTAGTAGTAGTTAGTAGTAGTAGTAGTAGTAGTAGTAGTACTAGTAGTAGTAGTAGTAGTAGTAGTAGTAGTAGTAGTAGTAGTAGTAGTAGTAAGTAGTAGTAGTAAGTAGTAGTAGTAGTAGCAGTAGTAGTAGTAGTAGTAGTCGTAGTAGTAGTAGTAGTAGTAGTAGTAGTAGTAGTAGTAGTAGTAGTAGTAGTAGTAGTAGTAGTATAGTAGTAGTAGTAGTAGTAGTACTAGTAGTACTAGTAGTAGTAGTAGTAAGTAGTAGTAAGTAGTAGTAGTAGTAGTAGTAGTAGTAGTAGTAGTAGTAGTAGTAGTAGTAGTAGTAGTAGTAGTAGTAGTAGTAGTAGTAGTAGTATTCGCATCAAGGCCGCCCTCCAACTGTCGCAAAATACCCCGGTTACCGTCGCAGAAAACACCGCAGAAAACACCACCGTCGCAAAAAACACCGGTTGCCAGTGCAATAAACACCCGGGGCCGTCGCAAAAAACACCGCGGAACCGACGCATTGTTCTGCTCTACTCCATTCTAACCTAATCTGATCTATCTATCTACCTAGCTAGCTAGCTATCTAATCTATCTATCTATCTATCTATCTATCTATCTAGCTAGCTAGCTAGCTAGCTAGCTATCTATCTAATCTATCTATCTATCTAATCTAATCTAATCTAATCTAATCTAATCTAATCTAATCTAATCTATCTATCTATCTATCTATCCTTGCTATCTTATCTATCCTAGATATCATATCTATCCTAGCTATCTTATCTATCCTAACTATTTTATCTTATCTTATCTATCTATCCATCTATCTTTCTTTCTTTCTTTCTTTCGGGTTTTGGGGTTTAAGCTTTTTGGGGTTTAGGGCGTCTCGGCCGCGTGGCAGCAAAAGTTCGAATACGTAGACGGCGCCTTCCCGCACCTGAAGGGTGTGAAGGTGGCGGCGTATCACGGTTGTTGTGGTTGCGCGGTTTCATGAAGCCGGGCCCTTTGATCTGGGGCTTATACCTTTCTTACCCACCCTTCTCCAGATAGGAGGCAAGCCACCCAAGTTCCACTTATTAGGGTTTAGGGCTGCAGAAAGCACAAACCATTTTTAGCATTTCATGTAGCATTTGATTTCATGTGCAGATAGATTTGCACGCATGTTCAACTGTCCAGATTTGCAGCACTGCAGCTGCCTTTTTTCCAGCTCAAATTCGAAGACTTTCGAGTCGCCGACGAAAAGAAGGAGAAGGTGCGATCTTTGGAGGACGAGGCTTGGATTTGGGCACCTGGTGTTTTCCACCAGGTTATGAGCCCAAGGAGGCCACTGAAGATCTCCTTTGGTTAGAAGTTTCAAAGAGGATTCAAAGGCAGAAATGGCAGATGTTAGGAGGAGAAAAGCCACCGCCCAAGAACTAGAACAGGGTCAGGAGGAGATCAGGTTGGCTGATGCAAGGTTTCGTAAGGAGGCTGTAGAGAGAGGTGAAAAGGCACTAGAGGATGGACCCGAAAAAGGGACTAGTGAAGAAGCTGAGGCTATGATGTCCCCACCCATTGAGGATAAGAGGGATAGTAACCCTAAGGGTACCCCAGCCAGAAGTCCAGACGAGGGTTCAGCCAGCAAGCCACTGCAGCCGCCCACTGATCCGCCACCTCAACCACCTGAGCTGGGTAACGGTGACACCTCCTACGGCATGCGCGACCAGAAGATGAATGAAAATGTGGAATCAGGGTCTTTGACTGCGGAACGACCTCTGAGGAGCGAGATGGCAACTCCTGGAGGACCGATGTCAGAGGCTGCAACTCCAGGAGGGTTTTTGGGTCTACAAGTTCCGTTGTTTTCAGAAGAGCAGTTGCGGAATTTTGCATTCATTCATAGCCAAGCACCATGGCTGTACGGAAACCCACAGTCCATTTTCACTGGTTCTGTTCCGCGTCCTACGTTTTTGGATGTTGACGCCCCAAGAGTTGCGCAGAGTCAGATGGAAAGAGATGTGGAATTTTTGAAGTCTCAGATTGCTAGGGACAGAGATGAAAAGGAGGAATTCAGAAAACAGATCCAGTCGTTGACAGCAGAGAATCAACGGTTGAGGTCCAAGGCGAATGGTGATGAGAAAGTTTCCAAAGAAGAAGAACTTAGGTTTTCTACTCCTGAGGAACAGACTTCGAAGCCGAACTCAGGTCATCCGGAGGACGATCAAGACTGGCTGCCAGCTGAGGCGACGAAGCACTGAGAAGACCAAAAGTTCCAAGGAGGCTGGCAGACCACCATTCCTCCCTGAGGCTGCAGAGTTCAAGGAGGCTGCAGACTTTAAGACCCCCAAGGAGGCTGAAAGACCCCCCAAAAGGGAGAACTGAGGATTCAGAAGAAGGTGCGCAGAAGCCGAGCTCTGGTCGAAGTGTGCCCCAGTCCGGTGAAGCCACGTTCACCGAAAAATCCATTGAGTTCATGATGATCATGATGGAAACCATGAAGGACTTGCAGAAGAAGGTCAGTGAGTCGAAGGAGGAATCAGGGATGGTTAGGGGCGTCGAGATTGTGAGAACCGGCGTTCCTGATCTGCCAACTCTACAACCCTGGACTCCGAGTCAAGGACCTTTACAACTTAGAGATTGGCTGCTGACAGTGGAGCCAATTGCAGCTGATTTGTCAGCCACATCGGAGAAGTGGTGGGCATTGATGGTGAAGTCGGCGGAGGACTGGTATCAAAGACATATGGCCATGTCTCCATTGGACAGAGTTCAACACGATGTCAGACCACCGCAAGAGGTGAACTTGGAGAAATGGTCGAGATTGGAGCGACGGATGGCATCACTTCTTCTTCAAGCAGTTCCCGAAGTGGTGAAGGAGGAGCTGATTTTGGCCAGAAGATTGAGCGTTTTTGGGATTCTGACGCAGCTGTTGCTGACCTAGTGCCCGGGCGGTGTGCTGGAGAAGCAAACATTGCTCCGCAGTTTGGAGGATCCTATGGAAGTTGCAACGATGGCCGAAGCTCCTTCAGCGATCAGAAGATGGCTTCGCTGGAAGTTGCGGTCTCAGGAGATAGGTGCTGTGACTCCGGACCCTGCACTCCTTCTCAAGGGTCTGAACAAACTTACCCGCAAGGTGCTGGAGTCCAACAAAGAACTTCAATTTCGGGTTAGCTTGGCCCGAAATTCCCTTGGAGTGGACACAAGACCTACCGACATCACCGTCAACCAGTTTGCAACACATCTCTTGGCGGAGGTTGAGCAGGTTTCCTTAGCAGAAAAAAGAGCTGCTTCCGTGGGGACGAAGGGCGATGTGAAGCTCAAGGCCATGGAGGTGGACAAAGGGAAAGGCAAAGGTAAAGACAGGCTGGAGGGTGACGAGAAGCAGAAGCCCAAATGCAAGTTTTACCTCACTGATGGAGGATGTCGGAAAGGAAAAGAATGTGGATTTAGCCATGATGTGAGAGATGAGAAGAGGCGCTGCTACACATGCGGCAGCGTGGATCACTTGTCTCCTTCCTGCACCAGATCGAGGGGCCCATCATCTGAGACGAGCCCTACCAAACCCAGAGTGGCAAAGGTCGAGGGGGAGGACAAGGGATCGTCAGGAAAGGATCCTGAAGTTAGCAGCCAAGCTAGCTCAGACAGTGCAGTGAAAGATCTTTTGGAGGAGGCGAACAAGATGCTGAGGTGTTTGTCGTCAAAACCATCTTCAAGCCAAGCGTCTTCTGGGGGAAGCACTCAGGAGGATGAACGCAAAGATGTGATGGAAAGGCTTCAGCAACAGTTGAAGGCCATGAAAGCTTTCAAGATGAGGAGATTGGCCACAGGAGCTGATGTGGGATTGGTTGATTCAGGGGCGACTCATGCACTTCGCCCTCGCAGAGATGGTGAGAATGTCCAGAAGTATCCACTGGTTGATGTTGGCCTAGCGGATGGAAGAGCTGTGAGGCTACGCATGGCGCCTGGAGGATCAATGATTGCCCCTTCGCCGGCAATTGAGCCGATTGTGCCGATGGGACAGCTGACGGAGGTGCTGGGGTGCCAGATTGTTTGGAGTCATGGAGAAATGCAGTTGAGGCATCCAGAAAAAGGGGACATCCCAATTCAGATGAAGGAGGGATGCCCACATCTTGCGAAGTCTACAGCATTGGATTTGATTGCGGAGATTGAAGATGCGAAGGTTGGTATACCAAAGACCCTTGGTGAATACGATGAGGAGGTGTGCTGGATGAAAAGATTGGTGGAACAACATCCAGTACTGTCGTCTCTCCCAGAGTACATCAAGGAGAAACTTGTGGTCTGTCCAGGAGAGTGGTCTGCCCTTCCTGAAAATCGTCATCAGCGGAAAAGGTGGCGACGGGATGGGATGATGGTTCATTTGTTTGCTGGACCTGATTCTGGTTTTACTTTGAAGAAGGCACTACGTCAGCTGGGTGGACCTGATGACAAGCTGCTGGAGGTGGATTTGAAGAGAGGTCCACACCACGATGTTATGACAGATGAGGGTGTCTATGCTGGCCTGATTCGAGCCGCGATTGAGTCCAAGGTTTTGGCCGTGGTGGCTGGTCCAAATTGCAGGACACGCAGCCTACTTCGTCATGTTCCAATTCCGGGGCAGCCCAACGCACCTCGCCCAATCAGGAGATGGGGTGGAGAAGAGTTTGGGGTGAAAGAGGCCACGGAGGAGGAGATTCAGAAGTTGCATGAGGATGATATCATGATGTGGCAATGCATTTTTCTTTTCATGCTGTCAACTTACATGAGAAGGGCGAGAAAGTTGGATGATTGGGTGGCGTTTGGACTTGAACAACCAGCGTCGCCAAGGGACTATATGCCAGAGGTTGTCAGTTTCTGGGACACCCAGGAGTGGAAGGCGATTGCGAGCGAGTTTGCCTTGGAAGAGATCACTTTCAAGCAGAGCGCTATGGGAGGAGCTTCTCCGAAACCTACAACGTTTGGTGGAAACTTGGAGCTGAACGTGGATGTCTTCCAAAGAAGGAGTTTTGGGAGCCCTGTCAAGGTCTCGAGCTCAACTGATTTGTCAAGGTGGGCTCCGGGAGTGATGTCTATGGTGTCTTCAGCGCTGATTCAACAGGTATGTCAGTCTGGCATGAAACTGAAGTCCTTGACATGGGAGGAACATTTGGAGTTCAGACACGCTCCTTACCGACGTGACTGCAGAGTATGTCAGGTGCCCCGCATCGTCGAGTTCGAGATCCACTGGCAGGGGTGCTGTCAATAGACACTGCTGGTCCACTGAAGCCAGCCTATGACTCCGGTGGAGCTATGGCACGGTATTTCCTTGCAAGTGCTTTGACATGGAGGGTGCCTAGAGGAACAGACAAGCTGAAGGATCCACCAGAAGAGGATCTCCCAGATGACGCTCCAATGATTGAAGCAGAAGGAGAAGATGGTGAAGTTCATGATGAGGTTCAGGATGAAGTTCCACCGGATGAGGACGGGTCGGGGAGAGGAGCCCTGGTCCAGCTCTCCGGTGAAGCGCCGGGTGATGAGAGGAGCCACCCTGGCGGGGTCCCTGATGAGGATGGGTCGGGGGGTGAACCCCTGGTCCAGCTCTCAGGTGAAGGAGCAGAGCCAGCTGAGCCGCTCCAGACCCATGGCCCTCCGACATTGGAGGAAGCCACTGAATTGCGAGTCTTTCGCATGGCCTTGCCGATGAAATCAAAGAAGGCAAGAGAAGTTGTGGCCACGGTGATGGAGTTTGTCTTGCGTTTGAGGTCAGAGGGGTATCACGTTGGGAGGATCCACTCAGACCAGGGCCACGAGTTTGCGGGTGAGTTCAGGAGGTGGGCATTGCAGCGTGGAATCTACCTGCCGAGAACGGCAGGTGATGATCCTCGTGGAAATGGAAGAGCGGAGGTTGCTGTGAAGGCCTTCAAGAATTACATTAGACGGACGCTGAGACAGGCGTCGGTGGATGCGAAATGGTGGCCCTGGGCACTACGATACTCCAATGAGGTTCAAAGGTGCATTCGAATGGGAACGAAGCCGGATTGGCCTAGATTCCTTCAAGAAGTGAGGGTGAGGAAAAGAACATGGAAGAAGGACGATTTGTCGTCACGTGTGGAGACAGTGCAGTATCTCTGCCCTTCCATTGAAAATCATGGCCATTGGATCTACAAGTCTGGTGAAGCTCCAAGGCTGACGAGGTACATCCTGGCGCCAACGACAGAGCCTGAGGATGACACGGTTTGGGTTGCAGTTGAACGTGAGGGCCGAGATGCTCAGGAGCAGAGGAGGAGGATCAGAGGTAAGTCCACCTTGAGAAAGATGGATGCTTCCTTGATGAGTTCCGAAGAAGTTGAAGAAGAGGAAAAGAAGATTGAAGTTCGAAGGGTGATGAAGTTGGTTGAGGAGGAAATGCAGACTCTCACCAACGAGGACCCTGAGATTGCAGCAGATGAGGTCCGAATTTTGGGACGCTTGAGAAAGATGGTGGAGGAACAGGGGGAGAATGAAGAGATTTTGCAGACCAAGATCATCTCTCCCAAGGAGGTCCTTCGAAACTGAAGTGAGTGGGAACCTTCCATCAGAAGCGAGGTGGAATCTTTGACGGTGGAGAAGTCAGCTCTGAAGCCTTTGACAAAGGCAGAAGTTGAGGAGTTGAAGCTTCAAGCGCAGAAAGAGGGAAAGAAGTTGGAAATCTTGCCCTCCAAGATGGTGTTTACGATCAAGCCAGGTGGGAAGTTGAAGAGCAGGTGGGTTGTCTGCGGGAACTATGAAGAGAAAAAGGAGGGGGAAGAGACCTACTCCACAGGCGCAGACGCGACCACTTTGCGTCTTTTGGTTTGGACGTCAACAAGGATGGGTTGGTGTGGATGCGTGCTTGATGTGCGCACAGCGTTTTTGAATGCTGAAATGGAGCAGTCGCCTGAGGAGGATTTGCTGCTGGTTCAGGCTCCACATGTTTTGAGAGAGGCCAAGTTTTTCAAAGGAGAGGCACTTTTTCTGCCGTTGAGGGCGGTTTACGGGTTCCGAAGATCTCCAAGATTGTGGGGACTACACCGTGACCGAACCATGAGAGACATGAAGATTTCGGTTGTGTTGGATGGCAGAAAAGAGATGCTGGTCTTGAAACAGTTGGAGTCGGAGCAGAATCTTTGGAAGGTGGTTGTTTTGAGAAATGGCTTTCAAGAAGATTTGGAGGATGAGTTTGTCTCCAATGGCCGGGTGGTTGGACTGGTCATGACGTATGTGGATGACATCCTGATCACCGGCAGGAGGGAGGTCATGGAGTCAGTGACACAGCAGCTCCAACAGACCTGGAGCACCTCAGTTCCAGAAGAGATCGGAGAAAAGCCAGTCAGATTCCTGGGCATTGAGATCACCCGTTGTTTGGCAGAGGGGGAGGAGAGAATGCATTGGAGTCTGAATCAACAGGCTTACATCAGAGATCTTCTTGGAAGGTATGAGGATGGAGAGAAGGTGAGAAAGATTCCCATCACAAGGGATCAAGCTGCCATGAGTCAGGACGTGACCACACCGACACCAGAAGGGGTCAAGTCATGTCAGAAGGTCATTGGAGAGCTGCTCTGGTTAGTCGCTCGTACACGACCAGACCTGATGTTTGGAGTTTCAAGAATGGGCGCGAGTGTTCTCAAGTCCACTCATGCCATACAAGAGACAGCCAAGCAGATGAGGCTGTATTTGAAGGCCACTTTGGAAGAGGGATTGAGGTTTGAGGAAAGACCGGAAGACCCAATCAACCTGTACGTCTACTCAGACTCAAGCTTTGCCCCGGAGTCAGATGAGTCGCATGGGTCTTTCATTGTTTTGGCCAATGGAAGTTCAATGTTTTGGAGAAGTGGCCGCCAATCTGCGGTGACCTTGAGCACGGCAGAGTCGGAGCTCACGGAACTGGTGGAGGCGATGGTGGCGGGCGAGTCAGTCTATGCCATCATCTCAGAGTTGTTTGCCGAGGTCAACCGCATCGCACTTTGCGATTCTCAAGCTGCTTTGGCGATCCTTTTGGCAGAATGAGGGAGCTGGCGCACCAGACATTTGCGCCTGCGTTGGTCATTTGCGAGGCAGGCAGTCTTGAGGGGTGATTGGCAGGTTGGTCACGTGCCTGGAGAGCGCATGATAGCAGACATCGGAACCAAAGCTCTGGCATCGACGCGACTGGAGCTTCTCAAAGAAATGCTCGGCATGAAAAAGACTGGGCATGTGGAAGTTGAGGATGCAGGAAAGAATGAAGAGAAGGGGAAGAAGATCCCTTCACAGCCACAGGGACCAGAAGTTGCCAATTTGGCTTTGCGGCTGATCACTTTAGCAGCCACTTTGCAGATGTCAAAAGCCATGGATGATGAAGAGGAAGAATCTTCAGCCGAATTCAATCAGCTGATGATGATCTACACCATTTTGGTTGTGATGGCCACCTTGGGTCCTCAAGCTTTGTGGAAGGTAGGAGTAAGCTCAGCCTGCAGTAGCTTGAGGAATTGGTTGCTTGGCGGCGAGGGCCGAAGTCTCCCTGCGGAGCCTGAAGAACCTGAGGTCAGAAGGCCAAACATTGAGGAGTTGACGACATCAATGGGCCGCGCTGAGGACGGGTCGGGGAGAGGAGCCCTGGTCCAGCTCGCGCAGGCCGGCTGGAGGCACGCTGTAGGTTCCTACACTGTAGATGCTACAGCTGTGCCCGGCCTTGGTGGAGACCCACCACTGAGCCGCGCTGAGGACGGGTCGGGACAGAGGGTCCTGGTCCAGCTCGTGCAGGCTAGCCCAGGGCTTGCTGTAGAGGAGACAGCTTTGCCCGGGCCAACACAAAATGTGAGGAGCGACGCCTCACTTGGCCAAGCTGGCCCAAGCACAGAGCCGTCGTCAAGCTCTGGAAGTGGAGAGACATCAGATAGCATGGCTGAAAGAATCGAAGCCACCATCAGAACGATTGCAGAGGAAGAGGTTGAGCTGTGGAGAGAGTACGGAAGGATGGGTCATTTTCCGTACGTCAATGAAAATCATCAAGATGCAGACCTGAGCTTTGACGTGTTCAGGACACCATGTGGAACTGTTTATCATTCAACTCGGGCCTGCACCCAATTGAAGGGTCCGAGAACTGGATTTGCGAGAAAGTTTTCATGGTGTGAACTTTGTAAGGAGGTGGGGATGCGAACGCGAGGACGTCCACCACCAGGATCTCCACTGCTCTTGCTGACATCGGGTCAGACTCTTCACACAGACGCCAGATGCCCGAGAACTGAAAACACCTCTGAATTTCGCGGGTGCATGTACTGCACTGATTTTCCAGGATAGGCAGTTTGAGCTTGTGACTGTGCCCTGACGGACCAGTCAAGGGGGAGTGCAGAAAGCACAAACCATTTTTAGCATTTCATGTAGCATTTGATTTCATGTGCAGATAGATTTGCACGCATGTTCAACTGTCCAGATTTGCAGCACTGCAGCTGCCTTTTTTCCAGCTCAAATTCGAAGACTTTCGAGTCGCCGACGAAAAGAAGGAGAAGGTGCGATCTTTGGAGGACGAGGCTTGGATTTGGGCACCTGGTGTTTTCCAAGGGCAAGCCCTCAAATTCCTATCTTTTTGCTTACGGCCCGGGCCCGCAATTAAAAGCGCGACCTGGAATCATTGGGAAACAGCCCTTTTGGGCCAAAGCCTGGCCGGGAGCCTAAAGGGAAGGCAGATTTGGCAAAACCCGTCCCGGCGCCAAGGGGGACCCTTACCCAAAAACGGCCGTGGAAGACTAAACAAGGGAAAAAATGGTGAATGTTGAGGCTCAGCTTAGGGTTGCCCCGCGCAGGGCTTTACCTTGGGGGGTTTAGGGTATTGATCTTCCCCTCATAGAAGATCTCTACGTGGCACCATAGCAAATGATTGGCAAGGCAGTACGCCATCCTCTGGGCAGAGCCTTGAGTAGCACTAAGCAGTGCAAGGGCCCGTGGGGTCTAAGTTGACCGCTCTCCAATCGCACCACCCATTGTCTTTGACTGGAGACGTGGTGTATGGCTGCCAGGAATCTTGTGTGTGTGACCACCCTTGAAGTGGGCGGGAACGGGCAAAGCAGGCCTGGGTGGGAATTTAGGGAAGGAGGGTAGATTTTAGGGTGTAGGGTTCGACACGAAAGGTCGCCATTAACAGAACTGATTTCAACGGATATTTTTTTTCTGTGGGCCGGACCCTAAGCCTTAACTCCACTGGGTGACCTTTTTCTTCTTTTGTGGCTATGTTTTTGGCTCAAAGCAGCACTGGGCCCAAAGCAGCACTGGGTGACCTTTTTCTCCTCCTGTGCAAAGGAGAGCTGGGTGACATTTTTTCCCCTCCTGTGGTTCTGTTTTTGGCCCATAGCACCACAGGGTGACCTTTTTCTCCTGTGGTTCTGTTTTTGGCTCAACGCAGCACTGTGTGACTTTTTGTCCTCCTGTGGTTCTGTTTCTTGGCCCAAAGCATCATTGGGTGACATTTTTCTTCTCCTCTATTTTTGGCTCAGAGCACTGCGCGATTTTTTCTCCTCCTGCATTGGGTGACGTTTTTCTCCTCCCGTGCTTCTATTTTTTGCCCTAAATGGTTTCTTCTGGGATGCTGGGGTGGGATGCCTGCGCTGCACTGGGAGCGCGACATGGGCCCGTTAAAGAAGAATTTATACAACCCACAAAGGGCTCTCAAATAACGTTACCATACACCCAGGCCTGCTTAGCCCGTTCCCATCCACTTCAAGGGTGACCAGACACAGGAGGTAAAAGCCAGCCAGTGCTGCTTTGGGCTAAAATCAGAACCACAGGACGAGGAAAAGGGCACAGACTGCTGCTTTGGGCCAAAAACAGATCCACAGGGGCAGACAAAGGTCATTCAGTGCTGAACGACAGGAAGAGAAAAAGGTCAGCCAGTGCAGTGCTGGAGTTAAGGCTGGATCGCAAGGAAAGAGCAAATTCTCCTAGTGCTGCTTTGCGCCAATAGCAACATCACAAGTGGGAAAAAGATATCCCAGTGCTGCCACTCTGGGCCAAAAACAGAACCAAGGGAGGAAACAGAAGTCACCCAGTGCTGTTTTGAGGAGAAGAAAAGTGTCACCCAGTGGTCCTTTGAGGAAAAACAGAACCACAGGAGGAGAAAATTTAATCCCTAAAGTCTCTTTCGCGATACCTCGGCGTGGGCCACGGATAATAACAGCAAGGCAAGGAACAAGCCAAGACGTATTGCTGTGGAGCCCGGTGACACGTCTGCGTACGTCGCTGCCCCTCGGCCAGGGCAGCCCTCCCGTGCGTTATAAAGCGTGCCTTTTCCTTCCGTTGCACAGCTGCCGGGAGTAGGAAAACCAGCTGCAGATAGGAGCGTCAGAAAAGGTCACAAGATGGCATAAACAGCGGGAAGCATCCAAAGGCTGGCCGGAGCCACACTCCCAACCTGGGAACCAGAGGATACCATTGCAAGGAATTACCGGTTCCCAGAAGTTAGAATTTATGTTTTCGAAGCTAAGCGGCTTTTTAAGGAACTGCGGGTTCCCAAAGCTTGAAACTCATGGTTCCAAGACTGAAAAAGTAACGTTACCAGTGGAAGGATCTGTTGATTGCAAAAAGTTCGAACTCATGGTTCTTAATGTTGTTTTGTTTTGTTTACTGAGCCGGTAACAGAACCTTTTGTTTTGCTTAATGGACCGGTAGCGGAATGTTTGCATTTGGCTGCTGGGCCGGCATAAAAATGTTTTTGCACGAAAAAGGTGCATGTTAAAATGATATGAAAACAGTTTCTTTACAACTTTATGGTTTTGCTTAATGGACCGGTACCGGAATGTTTGCGTTTGGTTCATGGCAAGGAACTGCCGGTTCCCAAAGGTTGGAACTCACGGTTGCCAACGTGGGAACCACGGTTACCATTGCAAGGAACTGCCGGTTCCCAGAGGTTGGAACTCCTGGTTCCCAACCTGGAAACCATGGGTTACCATTGCAAGCAACTGCCGGTTACCAGAGGTTGGAACTCATGCTTCCCAACCTGGGAACCATAGGTTACCATTGCAAAGAACTTCCAATTCCTAAAGGTTGGAACTGATGGTTCCCAACGTGGGAACCAAGCACAGCACTGCTGCACATGACAGCACCCTGCACAGCACCTTTTCACAGCAACCTTTGCGAGACTTCGCCACCGCAGTCTGGATAGCAGCGTGCACAGCACCCTGCACAGCACCTTTGCCAGACTT